GAAAGCATTGAGGACTTTGGCCTTTTACATCTACAAATGGTCAGCCATACCAACTTTTATTGCTTTTAGCCACATTTTTCCATCTCAGCTTTTTCTCCTAGAATATCTCCTAGTGTGGGAGGGGCTCTCTTCTATGGTCCACTTATTTTTTGAAATTCAGATCCCTCCTTGAAACATAGCTTTAATTATCAAGCTGGCAGTAGTTGAAAATAGATAGAAAGTTGCTGTGTTATGACTGTGTTGTGCTATGAAACTTCCATGTCCTCTGTCAGCAGGGCCCCTGCCCCATACAGCAGTGGGCCCACATAGTGAGGGCTTTGCTTTTGGTGTGCATGATCCAACATAACTAATGTCAGTGAACAATAAGTGCTACAATGCATTGATATCATCAAAGTGTTGGACAGGGAGCTTCCTTCATCATTTCTTGTTAGTACTTTCCAGAGAGCAAGTTTTCCTGCGGGAGGATGCTTACATTACATCTGCTTACACCGACTTTTGTACAGAAGGGTCTCTCTGACCCTAGCCTCAATATACTACACTACAGTTCAGCAACCCAATCAATAACATGATCATTCAGAGCTAATTTTATCAGTTACAGCACCTCCATCCATGTACAAACAAGTCAGGTCTGCTCTCTGAGACCACTCTGGCACAAAAGAGTTTTTGCCAACCAAACGTTGGCAAAATAAAAAGATTATTTACCAAACGTAAATAATCTTTTAAGGCAGTGATTACTCTGGGAAAGCCAGGCTCAGCCACAAGCATTGGTTAATATGTTCACCTTCTCCTCCACTTTTTATTCCATGCATGATCATTTGGTTGTTCAAGCAATAAGGAGAGAGAAGGAGGTTAACAGATGTCCTTACAAATCTACAGTGAGCTGGCAGGATGTGATACATCAAACTGTTCTCCTATTTACCCGCAGTGTCTCAGGCATCATCTTGCTTGGTTACAACAGTGGTTACACCTACAGTTGTCCAGCCTAATAGATTTAAGACACATTTAGTTTACAATATCCAAAATTTACGTCTAGTACTTTGGTCAAGCTTGTCCTCTTCCACAGTTAAGACAGTTATCTCTGTGACAAAGGCACAGTAATCACCGGTTTAGCCTGTCTTTTTTCCATGCCTTCATTGAACTAAGGGTTTTGGTCCCAACTGTCAAATTCAAGGGATGTATTCAGACAGCTTTAATTTCTCGTGCTTTATTGTCATTGTAGTCCTGACAGATGAGAACCTGTCAATATTGTTCAATACTTTAGGAGGAAATGCGGCTGGTGAAAATGACCCCAGAGTTTAAAATTAAAACCTAAAGAACCCCCTCGATATTACCAGAGGTTTTGGGAGATGACTAGCAGGGGTGCAGGAGGAGGTTCAGACTTCTACAGATCTACAGGAGTTCTCTGTCTACCCTGGACCATAATTTAAGGCCTTTCTTTACAGCCTAACAAAGAGAGAGATGTTACAGGGAAATGGAAAACAAAAGCAGTCATACATCTGGAGGCTTCAAAATTTCAGGATACGGGTCCATCCTAAGCAATGCCACAAGTAAACATTTTATGTGTCACCAAACCAGCTAGGAGGTCCTAGTCCTGGATGAGAAACACACGGTGCTTGGTGTGTCTCTCACAAGGAATGTGAAGGCAGTACCAGCACCAAAGGCAGGTATCATCTAGGTAACATGCCAATGGCTTTGATGGATGATGGAGTTTATTGAAGTAACTTGATAGGTGGTGATTTCCAATAGTGAGGATAAAATAATTTTTAAGAATGTTTTCCCAGGGTTGCGATTTTATACTCACTGAACGGAGTGTGCAGGAAAGAACTTTAGTGATCTTTCTCTGGGGTTTACCCATTTGAAACAAAGTAGGAAAGAAAGATCACGCTTTCATTGCATTTGAAATTAGAATTTCAAAATCGTTATGAGTTCTGGGCTTTGATAATATAACAGCAGGATTAAACAAATAAAAATTCACAGTAAGTATTTAGCCATTGTGGAAACTTGGTAACATCTTTGATTTTTTTTCCCCTCAGTGCTTTGCTAACAGGGCTAAATTGCCAGTGAAGAAGAAAACAATGTTGAAAAGTAGGATGTAAGTGAGACTTGCATCCAAATAGTCCATATCCTTAGCCTTATACCGCTTTCTGGAAAAAAACATATAAGAAAAGAAGCTGTGCCACTAAATTTGAATAAGTAAAAAATAACAGAAGTGCCAGAATACTGTTCAACAGAATGTTTTACAGCTGCCAAAAGGACACTCAGAAGAAAGAGCAACACAGCAGCCTTTCTAGCCTTTTCACTGTGATGCTACCGAGCCTCACAATCTTTTCTGATCATACAGCAGAAACCAGAACAAATCTTCTTACCTTGGCGTTGAATTTGGCAACAAAATCAAAGTGTTTCTTCAGGTCAGTAGCCAAAATTGCCTCAATGACGAGGAAGCGGAAATGCTTGAACTCCACGTGGTCGAGGTTGACCAGGAAGTTGTACTCTGGCCTTGACATGAAAAGGTTCCAGGCAGCAGCAGCGTGGTGATTCTCCAGGACGGAGCGGTCGTTGTACAGCACTGCCTGTGAAAGCAATGCGGGCAGCTGAAAGCTCAGAAACCTCTTAGCAAAAGAGACACTGCAATGCAGAAATGAGAATGATGCGGGAATGATGCATGAGGGAGGTTCAGGTTTCGTTGATTTGTTTGGGTTTTTCTAAAAGAACTTCTCAAGGTTTCAAGATATGATTTTGGCAGGACTAATAGCAGACACCTGAATTGTTGTGATGTTGGAGAGTTATTGGAAGACTGATTTGAAAATCTGGGTCTTTCATGCTCAAGGGTCTTTGGTTCCTCACTGAACTGCATCATATGACAATGGATTATTCTGTTTCAGGTCACAAATTAATGGCTAATATAATATAGGTGTGTGCTTCCCTGTTTCTCAGAACTAACCTCACTTAACAGGGATTACTATCTTTGGTGTTTGTACCTGGCAATTCTGTCCACACTGGACTGATTCCAAACGCAGAAACAAGTGAAATTCCAGTTTGTGACCTGACAACACACACACAGCCTGACAGATTTCTCAATGCTAAACCTCAAAATTGGTTAAATCTTTACGCATAACTCTCATAGTGATGGCAATTCCATTCAGAAACTAAAGAAAGATCTAGAAAATGGACTTTAGGGGACAACAACCATCCAGGAAATCTTTCCACTTCAGCAGCATTCCGTCCTTTGACAATTTGTTTATGGAAATAAAAGCTTTTGGAAACGGGCTGCTATGTAAAACAGACACAAGGTTTGTAACTTTTTACACAAATATATATACATATGTTCCAGTGGCTTTTCACTTCAATTACATTTTTCTGTCACCTAGAGATGAAAAAATTCAATCCTACCCTAAAGTATAGAATCTGTTCTTAACCCCAGAGAACAGGTTGCTGAAGCAACTCGGCTTTACAGCCCATCTTGCTAACGGCACAGTAAGCATTTGCGATATATTCTGCCACCCAGGCCCAAATCCTAAGGGCAGATTTTTAATACAGCAGCACTTTGTCATTACTGTAAGCTGATACTACTTCTCGTGAAAAAGAAGAAAAAAAATAGATGCCAAATACAAGTTCTGCAAATTTCAGGTGATATCAGATTTTAAAAAACAGCAAACAACAAATCAAAATGAAACTCACAAAAAATAACGAGAATAATTTGATTTTTTCCCATTAATTTATTTTCAAGCTAGGGACAATATATTAAGGCTAATCATCTAACTTCCCTTGTGGATGTTTACCACAACCACAAAGCCATAGCACTCAGTTCTTAAAAACTGATTTAAGGATCGCATAAGTCTTCTATCAATCTATTTACCTGGCCAGAGTATCAAAGTTCTCCATCACAGAAAGATGTTGTGAGGATGAGAAGTAGTACCATCAGTTTATAGGCAGAAACTGATACAGAGCAAGTTCAGCTGACTTGCTCTTGGTGAGAGAGGAAGTCTGGATCCAAGTTGGTGAGTAAATCTAGAATTTCTGCATCCCTACTCAACTTGTCACCATTGGGCTATCTTTTTTTTTTCTTTCCTTGTGCATAGAAGTATTTTTCAGCACAGTATGCTGAAGCCAGGCCGGTCAGCTATGTAAAGTAAGGAGAGATGATCTCATAATTAAGCCAATAAGCAGTGACTCAGAATTGCTGAATTCAACTCCCAGCATTGGCAGTAAATTAAGTAAGTCTCAATTCTTCATTTATAAAACTGAGATTTCCATGCACACCCCTACTCCGAGAGATGCATAGTGTAAAAATATATTCATAAAAGACTGCAGCTGCCCATATGCTGTAGGAACAACAGAAAATACATTACGATCATGCACAAACTAACTAGCATGGTGCACTGTCAACTATAAAGGTGTTTTTTAATTCTATTTTAATCTTTCTGTGCCTTATAGGGTAGAATAATTCTTCCCTTATTTCACAGTTATAGACACTCTGTCAAGCAGCAGAGCACTAGCTTCTCCTTCACTAAGACATTTTATCAGTACTTTTCTTAACAGCTCTACTAACTGAGGATATTGAGAGTGTATAAGAAGACTCTTACTGGTAATCCCCAAGTGAAGTGATTATTTCTGTCACTTTGATAAGCTGTTCCAAAATGTTTGGTAGACTTACGCTTAATGGAAGCCACAGGCACCAGTGGCAAGGAGAAATTGTTGCCAAAGACCTTCCAAACTTAACAGCAACGCTGCCTGAGATTTATTTACCTGAGGAGCACTTGTTGCTACCAAAAAGGCATTGGTCCTTCCTGGATGATCATAATCATGCATGGCTGCAGCTACATAAAGAGCCATCAATTCAAGGGCAGGGATGTTTCCAGCTAGGCATCCGTAGCTGTCATCAGTGGGTGTGTATGTCTTCGAAAATACATAACCCATATGTCCATGAGTGATTCCACTGTCAGAATCTGAGCAGAAATAAATAAATCCTTACCACTTTTTCAGTGACTTACTGTAACAGATAGAAGCAACAAAGTAGGAAGAGAAGGAGCAAATTTACAATACATAACAGAAGAGTAAACGCATCCTGACCTCAATGCTTTCTCATACTGTGCACATGATCCAGTGCAATAAGGCACACAACTGGAAAGCAACAAATTCTGATCCCAACTGGGGACCTTCCACTCATCCAGCAGAGCTTGTTCTCAAGCTCTGTAAGTTATGAGCAGTAAGCCGTGGATTCATGGCCATGCTGGAGCTTTGTGGGTAACTCGATCTTTCCACTCCTTCCTCTAATTGCTTCACTGTATAGGTTAGTCTATGAGACACTGACAGTCCTCAAAGCAACGGACTAGCATTTATTAACTCAATTACGGTGCATGTTTTCCAATCCAAAGGCCTAGACCTTGGATCTTTGCTGATAATCCTCTTAGCAACCTCTTTTTGAAGCAGCTTGAACATGCCTGTCAGAGGCAGATACTGAGTGAGACGCTTTGCTAATTTAGTCTGCTTGAATGGATCTTACATGCAGCTGAACAATGTCTTTCAAATAATAAACACCAAAAAGCCCCCAAACTCAACCCCTTTCAGTCCACCCATTTCACTCCACCTACAAAGCCCCCAACAACCCTTGCTAATAAAATTTTCCAGGAATAAAAATGTTTCCCACCCCACCAAAACATCCTCAAGAGTTTCACAAATGGTATGTATTTGCCACACAAACACCACCAAAAAAAGCAGAAATAGAAGTGATTTCTGTGGAACAAACTCCTGCTTTTCCAGTAACTCCCTCAGAACTCCCACAAAATACAGACAGGTCCTCTAGTTGCTACAGCTGAACCTGGAGAAGTTAATATAAAGACATAGTAAGAACAGCTTTCTGTAAGGAGCAATCATAAAAGAGCAGATGAGTGGTCTTGCAAACTAGTTGCAAAATGGACACAGGTCTCTTTCTTTGGAGACAGTGAGGAAAGACAAAGGAACGCTTCATGGCAGCCAAGCAGCAGCAAGTGCTCGGCACTACCTGCATGCCCCAGTGGTTTTGTAACAGCAAAACAATGCAGGGTTTGAGAATTTAGAAGTCTACATTCCTTCTGGAGCAGTGCTGAAAAGCACTACCAATACTGTTTTCCTAAAAAAAAAAAAACTATTGTAAAAATCAAATGGTAGCAAACAGCTGTTGTTATGAGTGACCTCAAAGCCTTGCATTCACAAACCTAGTAAAGTACTAGGTTTTGGAGGACCAATTCCATTCTTTTCGAAGTTACACAAAGATACCTTAATGTGCTACTGAACTTAGAAGTCTATATAATAACAAGTACTGCATGCAATCCTCAATTGTTGGCTTTCTTACAGCAAATTTCATGACAAAAGCTTGAAAAATACAACACATACATTTGCGCATTTAAATATACCTGAATCGCTTGCTGACCCGTGATCATTAATCACAGTTGGGAGTCCTGGGATGGGCTGAGTAGTAAGGTACCAAACGGCATGTAGAACATCAGTTGCATGGATTCGGTTGTGATCTGTGATATAAACCAAATGACCCTGCTATTAAACGTGAAGGATATTTCCGACAGAGGGAAATCAGCACCATCTAGTGGGTACTGCCCGGCAGCCAATTGAGCAGAGACAAACCAAACAGTATCACAAGTATGAAAAATAGCTGTATTCTGTAAATGCTCAGTTCTTTTACTAAAGTTGAAGCACATTCAATGGTATGTCTCGCACCAGTCAAGAAAGAGAAAACAGCAGAGAAGCAGTGGCATCTGCAATGTAGGAAACTTTGCAAAAAAAGTGTTAAACAAGGAGCCTAACCTATGCTACCAGCTCCAGTCCTTTACTCCAGTGGGTGCCTTTAGCTAATTAAATGCCATTGGGTGAATATGCACTGTTAACCTCCAATTTGCTAGTCAGATTTCACCTAGCTTCTAAATACAAGGCAGGTTACACTTACCTGACTCTGAGCAAATTTAGGTGCTGTGCTAGCAGCTGCACTGCAGAAAAAAAATCAAACTCAGGATATGTGCACACTGCACAATAAAAGCAGGTTCTTTCTGCGGTTTTCTGGCCAGGGATAAGAGTTCAGGCCTTGGATCCTGTACTCTGGCTTACTGCAAGCTCTCTTTGCAGAAATGAGAAATAAAAGTCACCCCAAGGCTCGTATCACCTAATCCTGCAAGGCCAGATAAACTATCCCGCAATCAACATAACTAGCTGAAAAAGAAGCACATGCTAGTTCAGCACAAAGCATCGTCTAAACACACACTAGCAAAAAGCAACCACTATGCTGAAAAGAGGGGTAATGTTTTGCTGCACCAGGACCAAAGCTTACATCTGGGGTTAAACCACTGAAGGACAAGCATTTCAGCTTGTGATTCAGGCTAATTTTGAGCAGAGCACAGGTGTCTTCTACAATGACTGGCTAAACACAATGAAATCTGCTAATGTGAATTATAATCTGTGGCTAGATTACTGCTGCTGCAGTTCTGGAAAGACGCATTTCAGCAGACAAAGCACAAAAATGTGGGGCTCCACTGCTGGGTCACCCTCATCTGTAAAACTCACAGTAACTGGCTACATCTCTAGGTAATCAGACATCTTAGTGGGAGACACCTTGGTAATGCCAATCAGTCATGTGTGTCTCATTGGCAAACCAACTACTGGAACAAGGATGATGTGAACAGGTGAAGAACTAGGTTATATTAAGGAGAGTAATGGTCAAGAATCAGGATAACACTGGAAACCTTTTAATTAGGAAAAGTTACCAATACTCAAGTCCAGAAGTCCTCTCAAAGAAGTAATAAGTTTCACTCATTAGGGGTGAAAAAACCTCTGTACTCTGGGGGAGTAGAAGGGACTATGTGTAAACAACCTTATTTTATACCTGCTGCATCCTAAAGATAGGCAGTGTGCAGCTGATGGAGGGTTTCTCAGCGCCAAAGCAGAACTTCAACCTAAGGCTGCTCCTTCTATGGGAGAAGAGGAAGAAAGGAGAAGACCTGGGGTGGAGAAAGCACCCTGGAGAGCCATATTTGCCCTCTTGCCACGCTCGGGGATGGATAATGCCTGCTCCTGCTGGGAACAGCCACCTGCCCCACCCAGAGCAGCACTGCTGAGCTCACATTTCTAACCCCTACCATCAGTGGGGCAGCAGCTGCCAGCCTGCATTTCCCTGGCTCTGGCAGAGTAGGGCGCACCATCTTGCTGATCCTACACTCCAGTACTTGAGGCAACTGCCTGCCTTGTGTATGCCTAAACCCGGCAGCATCGTGCCCGCCAAGGGCAGATGGGTGTAACACAGAAAGGTTTATTGTATTCACAATTTGCAATTACTTTGCTTACTCACTAAACGTGAGCATGATGTCATGCCAGTTGGCCCTTTTATTTTCCCCTTGCTTACCTCTCCGTCTTCCCTGTGACCTTCTCCTTAAATACTTGTTAGTGATCACTAGCTGAAATTTTTAACAGCAAAACAGTAAGCAGCGTAGGAATGGTTAGTTTTGGAAAGAAGAAAGTAAAGCAAAGAAGGAGTCTCCTCTCCTCTGCCTTCCTCAAAGTACTAAGAACACCTCTCCTGAGACACTAATCTCTTCACACAAAACCTAGAGGATGGCCCTGCACAGGGGTCTAATGCTTTTCTCAGGAGTAAAGGCTGGATTAGCCTCTTGTGAAACTTGTACTGATTTAATCCAGCTGGCATAGTTACCATTAGTTTTGAGCGAATAACCCGTATTTCAGCTCAACAACCAGAAGAAAGAAGTCCAAATAAGTTGCTTTGGTTTTTATCCCTTCACAGAAATGAAAAACTGGAAGGTAAATTTATTTTATATGAGACAAAATATTCTGCTTTACTAAAACAAAACACACTTAAGGAAAATGAAGGAAATGAAGGGCTAGATTCATAAAAATTTCTGAGACTCTATGAACAGTTAAATGTTTTAAACAAAGAGGAATGGATCCAACAGGACAGACAGACTGTGGGACATCCACATATAACCTCCTCAGGCTATATAATCTGCTGCTTCAAATCCCTGATCAGGTTCAAACAAAAGGAAAGATTTGAAATTTGGTCTCTCATATTCCCAGAAGAGAGTCCAAACCACCTGTCTGGGAGGCATTTTGAGGTAGCTTTCCTTCAATCCTTCCCACTGTGGCTGTTCCAATTGATTTTTAATATTTTGAGAGAGAGACTGTATGACTTATTAAACCAATGTTTCAGATGTTTTTCTGGGAGGTGGGAGAAAACTGGGTGTCACATATTCCTCAACACTGGGGTTATCTGCCAGCTAAAGGGGGTAATAACTCCCTCTCTCCTGGAAAAAAAGAGCCTTTTGCAGTTGAAGCAGTTTGGTAAATTTGATTTGAATTAGTAAATACTTTGGGGATGACTGAAAGCAGGTTTTTCTGTGAATAAATGATTCACACTGAGAAATATCAGCTGAGCTGTAGCTGCAGAAGAACAGGATGCCCTCATCTACTTGGCATATTTGTTCTGCTTTACAAAGCTCATCTCTGAAGGCAGCATAACACTGCCACTGTGTAAAAATCCAAATTGCTTATGGGGGGAAATGTTTCAATAAAATCCAGCTGAGGCACTGAGGTACACTTGTATCATCAGGAAATAGTTCTTTGTACCTATACTAGCTCTATATGGTTTCAGGCTTGCACAGAATTTGCCATTCATTATTATGAAACAACATGAAACACTAAATGCAATGAAAAAAAGACAAGAGGCTGCAGGCCAGCACTAGCCTCTGACTAGAGAGCCATCCTTTTGGTTGTGACATTTCAGAAGAATAAAAGTAGCTGTTATAATGAGAGAAGAAAGGCTTCAATAACAAAGTGTGCGGAAGATATCCAAAACTTTACAGAAGCATTGTTATCTGCTGGGAATTTTTACTTACAAGGTATCTCTCGGTATCCACATTCCAAGGCATGAAAGTAGTTCATAAATTCCCTCACTGGTATTTTAAATGTTTCAAACAGCCCCATGTCTTCAAAAAGCCTGTATGACACCTGAAAAAAACCAAAACAACCATGCTGCTAAATAGACTGGAAAATCTCTAAAAATTAGATATAAAAATCATTCTGCCGAATTACCCCATTAAAACCTTCTTTCCTCGTATTTTCTCAAGTATAGCTGATCCAGTTATAGCTGCAGCTGTTTGTATTTCCATAGGGATGTGGCTACACAGCCAAACAGACAAGCTATTAGTACCGAACGGTCTTCCTCATTCCTTCATTACACCCTTCCAGATGTTATCTTCCCTTCAGGGACATGGATCCCCCAAATTTTGCAAGCACCTCAGAAACACACACAAATAAAGAAGATATCCAGAGGTCTTCAGTGTCTTGGGAAAGATTTCCCCACAACCTTCTCCAAGGAGCTTCCATATGTCAAATCGATTCCCAGAAAAAGAGGGAAAAAGTGAAGGAACGACCAAAGCAGAGAAACATTGGGATCCCATGCTTTATATCTCCTTTCCCTCTCCCCCATTTTGGAAGTGAAATGGCATAAATGACTTCTCCAATGGGATTTCAGAGCAGCAAGCAGCTTAGGAAGCTCCAAGTGTTCCTGTATGGAAAAATGACTGTAGACATCCAGGAGAGGATGTATTGGAAAGGAGAACGCGATGGGTGAGTGAGGGGGTGTTCAGGAGAGAGGGGTGCTCAGGAACGCAGACAGCAGCTGCTGCCAAATGGACACTTTTGAAGACAAGTTTGAACTTGACACACAGAACAATGGGACATAGTAAAATTATTGCCTGGCCTTTTCACTTCTTTCACAAATCAGACCCTAAAGCCTTTCAGTGTCTTTATTTATTTACTGCTGTTAGCTAAATTCTGTCCTTTTGATGCCATCTGTCTGGTAATGATCTGCCTAGAGCTAAGCAATCTGAAGCACATTTGGAATGATGAGTGCTATACTGATAAGGAATTGTTACAAATTATGTTTTGTGTTTTACAGACGAATGTAAATCAAACAGCTATCCACACCCGTTTCTTTCTGAATATTGTGTACAGAAATTGGGACCTGTGAGCTGCACCTGAAGTTTAATGAACATAAACTTCAAATGTCCTGCCACTGTTGATTTTTACAGTAAGAATAAAAAAAAAGGATACCAATTTGTAGCATGATGATATTCCCCTCCCCCCCCTCCCCTCCTAGTCATTCCCTACCAGGAAAAATCTGCATGTGAACTAACTCTGGCAAAGCACCACAACATGCAGTGATGATGCAGAGACAGGCTGTGTGGTGTCTGACACCATCCGGGATGCCCCTCTAATGAGACACATCTGACAAATGGGGTTCTGATGGTGGCCCCAGCTCTTACTTCTGTTCCTACCATAACTGTACAAGTGCCACTAGCAATGCAGTCAAAAATCACTGCTGGTGGTCATTCCTCTTTGTGACCATGGCTGTTGGCCATAAAGTGAAAAGTTCAAGGAGCTAAGGAACTACTGAATTACAGTGCTCTGGAAGACATGAGCTTAGAACAAAAGGTAGGGCATGTAGAAGACAAAACTTTACTCTCTGAAAACCCCATGGGATCCTCCTGTACACAGGCAGAGTGAAGACACTGACTTTATGTGTAATTTGGATTAGAAACTGCATAGAATTTTGTTTATCCATCTGGAATCACGGCTGAAGTAAATCATCTGAGATCCAAACTTTCACCTACAGAGGGACGAGGTATTTTACACTCTAGTCTTAGATCACTGAATGGTAAGCTTCATATTTCCAGCAAAATATCTCTGTATAAAAAGAGGAAGCATGAAAATATTATTCTGCAGGACCAAACCTTACTGTAAATACTGGATAGGTATCTTAATACACTGTAAATACTGGACAAGTATCTTAAATAAACCATGCCATAAAAGCATGTTTTTTCACCCCTTGGATTTTAGGGGGAGGGGGGGTGGGAATTAGCAGTGGAAAAGTAGTGAAGTTGACTGTGGCGGATATGAATGACAGCTCTTCCCCGTGACCTGGGAGTAAGCTGGCACTATTCTCTGAGGCCATTAGAAAGCATAACAGCCAAGCCAGTCACCTGGATATTTTTGTAATGTTTTCTTTCTTCCTCTCTTTCTAAGCAAATGGGGAGGAGGAAGGGGTAAGGACAGGTCAGAAAGAGGAAAAAAGGGCATTGATGTCTTCCAGAAAGTCAACTAACTAAATTCTTTCATTAAAAAAAAAAAAGGAAAAAAAAAAGAAAAACTGCTGTTTTGTTTACTCATTGCTCTGGATTAATCATTTGTAAACACTTCTGTCTTTTAAAGTCCTTCCTTCCCAAACCACGTGCTGCTTCATGAGCTCCTTGGGAGTTAGAATCCCACAGGTTGAGCATGGTGCCCTCACAGCCACAGTGCAGCCCCTGCTGCCAGGGACAAGCCCAAGGAAACTCCGATGGCTGCCAGGCGCTTGGCAGTGGGTGCTCCACGCTGCCTCTTCCCTCCAGCCTCCATTTTCTGCTTGTTTCTGCAAGAACTGCTAATGCTTGAATGAATCATTTATAACTCAGATACTTGCGGCGCTGCTGCCTGAAGAAGGACAAGCACTCCTCCCGAATGATTCCTAATGGAAGCTGTTTTAGAAATGAGAATCGTTATTGGCATGTAGCTCCTCTCCTGGGTATTGCAGGCACACATAAACGGCTTTCATTGGAGGACACGTGCAAAGTTTAGGTTTCTGTAAGGTTAGTTTCCCTACTTGTTGTTTGCAGGTAACCCTCTTGCACTTCTTTTTTGTCTCTTGTATTTGCTTTCTTCAAACATGTGTTTCTTTTAAGTTGTTGGCACCCGGTCTCTGGCTCTGACAAACACAATTCCTCACAAGGGCCGCTATGACGACCCCAGGAATCCCCCAAGGACTGACTTCCCTCACTCCTTCATATAATGGCTGCAGTTTCTCTCTGCAGAAGCCATGCATGATGACAAGACGACCAAACATTCCTCTTGGCAACATGCAGGGACCAACTTACAGGCACCGCAATGACGCCACCCCGCCTCAATGCTGCTCGTGTACTGAGAGCATAAGGAGCACCACCAGCATTTCTTGTCTCTATGGGCCCAGTAATAAAAGCTAGAGAGAGACCTTGACTTTAGCCTATTCTTTTTATTTGCTTTCCAAGGCAAATGAGTTTCTCTTCCACAGGTTTTAGTTTTATAGGAGCTGCAAGAGTGTTAAGTGTGACAGAAGACATTTCTAACTTTACGGCCTGTTGTGAAGCATCAACTCAGTTGGAGAGCTCTGCTGTTCCTTTCTGAAATGAGACTGGTATGTAAATTCCTCTCTAACCCCTATCATGCATATTTGTTAGTGCCACATTTAGAGTGCTTGCCACTGTAGTTGCACAGATGCTTTTATGGCCGCTGACTGGTTTGAGGTCTTTTTATATGTCTAAATCAATTTAACATTCCAAAAAGAAGAAACCGACATCTCAAGCAGCTTTAAAGATGCTAAGCCAGCATTTGCTTTCGAAACTGAATGCTTCCCTAGAGGCACGTGTCAACTCTGCTTTGTTCCATCTCATAAATTTAAACTAGCAAGGCAAACACAGTTAATTCAGCTTGTTAATTTACTTATTTTTAATGGATGAGTCCATTTAATGGCAAAATACAGAGAATAAATCATTAGAGCCTTTGTTGTCCTTTGTTTATAATATCCAAGGATTTTAAAACTATACAAGAAAAAGACAATACTTTTCACTGTAGAAAAAGATTTATTTATTTTAGTTCTCTTATTTGTGAAAATAACTTTGTTAACAACATCTGAGTAGGTGAGAGAAAGAACTAAAGGATCTGTGTTTTTATGAACAAGGTTGAACTTGCTACAGTCTGCTCTTAGGGAGTGGGAGTTACTACAAGCAGCTGTTGCAGACAATGTTGAATTTTGATCACAAATATTATTTATTTAAGCTTCTTTATTTTGTTTCACAGGCCTCATTTTGTGGCACTGCAAAATGGATAACACGCTCAGAACCTATGCAAAAAGCAGATGTTGGGAAACAGTGTGGAGCTTTATTGCAAACACAGAGAGGCACAAGGGCATTGTCCTGAGAGGTACAGAACTCCATGCAACTGGTTGAGGTACCCACATAAAACCAGAACACATTTTGGCTCATCCAAACTGTTGGTTATGCCATTAAAAAGAGAGTTCTGTTTTTCTTTATGTTTCATTTATCATTCTAATATGATTCTATGCTATCAGAAAACAACATGACCAATATGATCTAGAAGAGCATTTTAAACACATACTCACTGTCTAGTGCAAAAGTGTCTTGGTGGTCATCACTGAATTTATATCAATATCCACATCCAGCCATAGCTTGCCTATTTCTCTAAAATTAACCTAGAGAGCTGGCAGGCTGGTTAAACGTACATGTTAATTGCCAAGCTACAGAACAATAAAAGGCAGACCACAGGATAAATTTGAATTCATACCATGGTTTTCCTGGTTGACCACTGGATAATTTAATCTAGTCGAATAATAGTTAACCACCAAGGGACCAAGATTTGATACCGCGTTCTCTGGAGCTTGTTGCACTGAGATCTGCCTGACACACTAACCTCTGTGTTGGGGCGGGGGGGGCGATATACCAATTAACATAATCTCTTCTTTCCAGCACTCATTACTACAGAATACTTTGTAAAGTGATACTAGATCAGTCAGATTCTCTTCGTTTTTTTTCCCTTCCATTCCTAAATAATAAGAACTACTTGCCTTTCCTGTTTAATAAATCTCAATACTTCTTTAAGAAAAAATGGCTAATTTGTCAGTATGCCAGGAAAAGAGGCATAACGGAGAAGAAAGTTCAGCCCATCTCTACCCAGCACAATTAATGTCACTTCCATAATCACTTTCTTGGCTGAACTTTCTTCTCTGTCATAAAGAGTGGCAGCAGATAGAAGAGAATCTTCAGAAAGATTCATGTAAACTCATTGGCAGAGAGCAGCAGGTAAAATAGGGATGTGTTTTTTTCACATTTTTAAATTACTAAATATAGACATTTAAAAATAACGAATGTAATGAGATGCAGTTCATATTGTCAGCGGTAGCAGGGATCACAATTCATTGGACGACCAGCTTGTAAGGACAATGAGTCTTAACACTACTTCGTCTAGATCTGTCAATAATCTAGCCAGCCATTGCAGACAAGATATCCTTCTTACCTGACTGAGAATCCGACCACATTTCTTTCCAATTTTTTCCACCAAATCAAAGATTGGGAAGTTCCAGCTATTCAGCTGCTCCATCAGGGGATCCAAGTTGTCCATAACCAGAGGCTCAGGAGCAAGTACAGGCTTGTCCTATGCCGGAAATCAGAAAAAAGAGGAATTTTAGTTCTGTCAAGCAACTCATGGAAAAAATTATGCAAGGTCACATTAGCATCATCTCTAAGTCGATGGTACTTTACTCAGCTCAGTGGAGATGTTCCCATTTCTACCAGCCCTGCAGCTAGTCATTCTGCTTTATAATTTGTTTCACTTGAATGAATATAAGAAATTCTTTATACGAAACATCAGTCTCTGAACTTATCCATGAGAAACATTCCTTCATTCATTCATGGGAATCATTCATTCATTTCCAAGGGAGTCTGTCTTCTTCATTGTAAAATTTGCTGCAGTACAGAGGGAAAAGCACTCAGGGCCCATTCACCACAATCTAACATGGCTAATGGAGCTTGGTCCAAATGAAGACTTGTACTTCTTGAACTGAAACCTACCTGTTTTTCAAGATTTGCAAATAAAAGATGGGTTGTGCCCCTTCTTTCATATTTCTCCCTGTATACTTCCTCGAATTTCATTATTACTAAGAAACTGTAGAACTCCAACAAATTACAATAATTTTTCAAGAGCTCATGGCATCTTAAACTTACTAATTCTGTTGTAAAACAGGCTGTGGAAAATTTAACTAAACAAAGCTTTCCCTCTACATTTCAATAAAGCTTACAGCTGAATGCAGCAGTTGTGAGAAGATCAGCCCTGCTGCAATGTTCTTGTGTTCAAGACATACACCAACAATAATATCACGCAGCACCCTCAGACAACTGTTAATTTATTTTAAAATAAGGACCACTGTCTATATTAGCCAAGATTGCAAGGCCACTGAGAAGATGAACTGGCTGAACAGGAAGACTACATACCACACCAGTAGTCTGAGAAGGTAATTTCTCTTCCTCCCAATCCATTCCCTTTAAAGGCAACGCTAACACAGAAGCCAAACATTTCAGAAATGCCTAATGCCAGAGTCATAAACTTATATTTATTCATCAAAATAGATGGTTAGTGTTTCACAAGTGGCCAGTGCTTAGCAGCTCTCAGACATTTCAATGGTTCCTTTCAATTCTTGAAAGTCAATCCTCCTATTGCAAGGTAGGAGACTACCGCAATTGTTGCTTAAAACCAAGATCACAATATGTAGACAGCCCTAAGGGTTTTTTTTTGTGGAGAACTGGGGTTTTTTGTTAGTCTGTTTTTTTGTGGGTTCTTTTGTTTTTGTTTTTGTTTTTTTTTGTTTTACAATATGCAGACAGGCCTAAGGGTGTTTTTTTTTTGTGGAGAACTGGGATTTTTTGTTAGTCTGGTTTTTTGTGGGTTCTTTTGTTTTTGTTTTTTTTTGTTTTGTTTTGTTCCCTCCCCCCCCAGTATCAGTATACACTGAGTCTATCATGTGAGTGGAACTTAAACAAGCTACCTCAGGTGGTATCAAGGGATGCAGAATGATGGTTTCAGGCGCGTATGTCCTACAGACGGATCCCTTCCGTGTCTGCTCCTTGGAGCAATCTGTCTCATCATCATTTTGTACGATATCGCTGCTATCACTATTGTTGGTCTCATAGTCAGAAGTGGCTTGCGCAGGATCATCTACAACACAAATCACAAAGCTTGTTGTATGAACAGCAAGGATTGCATGAAAGTCATCCTGTGACCTTCTGAATAATAGCAACAGGATCTCTGACTCATAATACATATGTGCTGCTTGGCTGGGTCCAAAGTCGGACAATCTGTCCAAAGGCATTAAAACATATACCCTGCAGAGTATAAAAAATGGGATCAGGGATTGAAGAGTGAGAAAAATTTTGAAGACCATTACTTGAACTGACTAGGTTAGATGAGGGAAAACATATTTCCTTTATATTTTAACTCTGTTCTTCATTAGCATTTTGCACATGTTGTACATAAAAAAGGAAAGGAGCCTCAAAGACAATTGGTACGGTTTCAGCTACATATTTTGTCCTTTTGTGACAGACAGGCATATCCGCCCTTTCAGTGAATGAATACTCAATCTTAAAGGATGAGGAGTTTTTGATGGACAAAGAATTACCTGTTCTGTTCAGGGTGTGTGTGGTACCATCATTTCTATCTAGTGTCCCATCATCAGCTTCTATTTGGTTATAGGGTCTGCCACAGCTGAAATACATCAAGAAACATGCACAATATAAAGAACCGTGTGCATTAGACAGTCTTATGTAAAATGATTTCCT